AGTAATTAAGATTATCATTGTTTAACCTAAGAACTAGATTATCTAATGAAAATCGATTTAATAACTGAATTTTCATCGATAGATGATGACTAATAATCATTTTTTTGTTTTCTTATTGTACCAGAATTGTGTACGTTGAACAAGAAAATAATGATAGTGAATAAATATGTAGCTAATAAATAAGAGAGATCATTCTACCATAACAAATGGAAAATATCACTGAGAAACGATATTGAAATGTCATTCAATCAAAACATGTAGCTAATTGTACCATTAGTCATTCTCTTATCAAAATATCATCGAACAATTGTGTCTGTGCATGTGTATGTATATATGATGTATAGCAGAACAAAGTCGGTAACATGGTAAAAAACATCTCTGACATACAGCTACATCTACTACTTGTATCTTATTATCATGATACTGTTAACTTCAATTGTTAGAAAAACGAATTATATTTATATTAGTTGTTAAGAAACTAAATGAAATTGATTTTCCAAAAAAATTTCAAAATGATAGTTTGTCATCATATAAAATAATCTTTGTTTATGTTTTATTTTATAGATTTTTCAATTCTATCATACTGACAACAGATTTGCATAGTCGAGTGTAAACAGATGATATATCATTTAGAAAAGGACAATCGAATATACACACTGTCGTGGCACTCTTTTAAACGACTTTCTTAATTAATCTTATTTGCCAGTAAAGTTATCTGCTTGTTTTCACGAGACAACCAAAATCGTTTTTTTGAACAAACTATTGTCATAAAGAACGACAATCTTCTTCCATCGAAATTATTATCATTTTCTTATATATATTTAACTGCTGAATAACATAATACTTCGTTTACTCCTCACAATAATTTTCATTTCTTATTGTGGTTAAAACTGTAGCAGAAAGTCACAATGATTTCTAGTTATTGACATCTGGTCGATCATTTTATGAACAAATTCTCCCTATGTACTGTGTTCCAATTTGATTATACATCAACATTCATTAATTGGTTATTAACATTATGTAACTGACTGTTGTTCAATACTTACATGAGAAAGAAGTCAATAATGGCAAGAACAAGGCGCTTAGATTATAATAAGGTCTTAAAAAACATCTCATTTAATGAGCAAAACACAGATGACAACAATATATTTTAACATCGGCTATTTATCATCAGTTATCTCTGTAATGTTAAAGTTGTGGTTTTCTACATACAAAGTTGATAATTGTTGGCAAAAGGATTCTAAAGTACAATATTCAACAAGAAAATATTGAAATAGAATTCTAGTTTTTAAAGAGTTACATACCAGATGTATCGTAGATAATAACTGATAATGCTCGAAAACTTCTACATTTTGAATTGATTGTGTACAAATTATTGTGAGTCTGAGACCTTTATTCCTTTTTTCTACCGTACTAACAACAAATGATTGGATATTCTATTTTGAATTTATTTGTATTATAAAAAAATGTTACATCTATAATATACAAAAATGCCCTACCTAATAGATTTTCAGTATGATTTATTTTAGGCCAAGTGATCTACAGAGGAAATGAGTTTTACTGCTAAATAAGTTACTCTGTTTTAAAAAATTCACCAAAACACGAAAAAGATAAAAATTGTTAGTCACTATTGCCACTGATGTCTTGAAGATTTATTATGAGGTATTTAATACATCGGTCATACATCTGCATTGACTTCGATGTCCATGTTCAATGTATTTCTGAGAATAATTTTAAATAAAAAAGAGGTTACAGTATTGTTTGTCTTTTCAGAGAAATGTGAAAAAAATTAGATTAAGGATTAAAAATTGATGTCACATGAAAAAAGTGATCAGTTTTCCATTTTCGCTGTTTATTTCCATATCATCAATACAATTTCAGAGGAAACAAAAGTCCATAATTTTATGTACTTAACTGAAGTATATTGTCCACTAAACGGTAAACTAGATTATGATGATTCACAAACAAAAAAAGGTTTTATCCAATGTTACGTGACAAAATAATAGGCTATAGTAATAGTCTTATAGTTTTTAAAGTAGAAATTGCGGTATGAGCAAAAACTAAAAATAAAGTACTATAGTAGGAAAGAGACAGTAGTCGAGAGTTTTTTCGTAGTTTTACTAGTTCTCATCCGTCTTTAACTAAAAATACTTAATTAACAAGATTAACAAAATCAAATTAACAAGGATAGTAGAGCCACCTATTGTCTACACACTGATGCAAAAACATTTTAAAAGTTGATATTGGTTTTTAAGAAGTAGGGTATGAAGTAGTTTTTATTGACTAATTCTTAGAACTATCCATATATTCTGTGATTCTAAGTGCAGCCATTTTCCGCTAAAATTTGAATGAATAACAGTATGGTAGGGATACATTAGAACAGCAGGATTCTATCAGATACAATCAGAGACGTAGCGACCGCGGGGGAGGAGAGGAGGGTTGATCTCCTCCTACTTTTGAAAATGTTTGCTTTTTCCGCAGCAAAATACGATAAATCTTCTTTTCCTGCGTAGTAGCAGTAATTTTATGCGAATAACAGGAAAAATTTTTTAATTCACCCCATTAAACGTTGAAATAACTTCAAAACCGACTTTGAAAAAAACCACTAACCAATCATCAATATTATTCAGATAGAACTGACCCTCCCTGCTTTTGAGCCCTCGTTACGCCCCTGGGTACAATCGTGCAATAAATTAACAGACCATGCGTTCTATGCGTGAGAATAATGTGGAAAGATAGAAAAGCAATGACCATGTCTAACGTGAGATTTGTTTGATTATAGATTGCAAGGATTAAATTCTATGATACTGTTGTAACATAGTATGACAAAATGGTTACACGCCTACGCAAATGCAACGTTTATTATTTAATTTATTATGTGCTCTATTTAAACGAGTAATTGCATTGACTGTTTGATGGTATATCAGCAAGATCTAACCTTGGGGCATCTGACTCCACGGTTCAGTCGTTTTTTTGTGAACTCGATTAGTCAGTACACAATAACTGATAGCATTTTTCTTATTATTTTGAAAGCGTAACAAATGACTGGGAATTAGTTCATGTATGGCTTTTTAAATAAAAAAAACGCTGCAAACTTCTGCAGTGTCTAAATTTTCGTAGAATTAAAAAAATGTTTTGTTCCGTCAAACTTTTATTCGAAAAAGAAAAGAGGATTTCTAATCGAGAAATTTTCAAAGTTTTGAAAATCACCTGAAATATTTTAGTTCCGCTTCAATATATGCAAATAACCATCCTTTCTCATTCGTTTCAACGGTGTATTGAAAGTTGTTTTTTGATTCTCGGCTCAGAAGTTTAACTTTTTCAAAACTTAGAAATGGATAGGTTTCAAAACCTTTGGTGCATCATCACTCGGAGCGATTGAATCATTCTAGAGTCGTTCTCTGTAAGACAGCTACTAAGGCTCATGTTGCCTCTTCGTTCTTCTTTCGGACGGCAGTTAAATGGAACGATCTACCTGAAAGGTGATTCTTGTTAATGGTCTTCGACAATTTAAACAAAAACTTCGAGAATGGCTAGAGATGTAGAAATTCCTTGTAGATGTTTGTTTCTCTATCTTTTTGTTAGAGGAGTTTATAAGAGTTTTTAAAATTCCCTTTTCTACTTCCCAGACATATAACAACATCGGTATTTTGTTCTGTTTCTGTCAAAATAAACATCGAATCAAATCAAAATCAAAGAAAAAAAACATGTTTGCCGGATATCTAAAGCCTGACTCTTTCTAGTGCTGTGACAGGACCTTCTGCAAAGGGTCAAGTGAGCGAGTAATCGTGAAAATACGTCGCTGTTCTCCTTTATCTTCGCCACGATACTGACTCAATTTAATTGACTTTATGTAAAAATAGACAGAATTAACAAAGTTTTCATAAGAAAACTGACTTTCCGTAACTTGGCTTGCCGTGAAATTAACATTTTCAACTTTTTTTCTCAAAAACTATGCCAAGAAATATGATCAAAATCAGTCAGTCAGTTAGACTCATGATATCGACATAAAAAATGGAAATTTAGCTGTTATAACTCATCATGCGCTGCAAAATGTGTAATTCAAATATCGCTTACACAAATAAATGAAATTTTTGTATCAGAACATTATAAGATGGATTCATTATTTAAGATCCTTAACGGGGAGTTAGTAATTTCAAATTGTTAGACAAAAAAGAAAAAACATTCAAGAGAATATATTCTTTATTTTTCAACACCCACATTCGGTAATTTATAATGCCTGAACTCACTTACCATGGTTTCAGACTTATCTGTTATTGTCATGTAAGTCAAGCAGTACAAGTTTTATTAGTTTATTAGTCATTGACTCTTATCAAGAATTTGACACACTTCATACGTGTACGAGTCGCACTAGAATCGAAATTGAGCCTCCTAGAAAGTAGAGTGACAATTGAACGATAGATGTGACGAATTTCTTTTGTCAACAATCAAAATATTTCTCTGTTAAAACTTGGTTTAATAAATATACTTCTAAGCCTTGTACGAGACATTAGAAGATGAGAAAAGAATTAAATCATATATAGAGTAAAACAATATATTTATGAGTGCTTTATACAAGATAGGAACAATTTAATCAAATGAAAGATAAATCCGTCTTTTTCCTCTTCAAATTTATACTTTATTGAACTGACATTCAGAAGAGCTAGATTCTAGAAGAGAGAGTTTTAGAAACAGTTTTTCTTTGCCTTGTGATATGTCCTTTTGTTAGTATCTTATACACGTGTCATAATAAAAAATTAATTTTCTGATCATTATACGATAGAAATAGATAAAAAGCCTTTCAAATGTTACGCTTGATTAATTTATACGTTATGATAGTCATACAATATTATTAATTTTTCTTAACAGAATACGATTAATAATTTCATATACGCACGAATATCAAAAATTTAGAAAGAAATGTAATTGAACATTCAAGGGCAGGTAAACAGACATTGTAATGAATGAAGAGATTTTCTATCATTTATTTTACATTAGATATGGGGAATAATGGTACAAAGCGATTATCAAACGCTGTGGAATTGCAGCCGAACTCGTTGGTTGAAAATAAAGAAGATCTTACGTTGATATGGTTAGATAAAAATATTGATGATTCTACCAAAAGTATACTACGTGAAATAGCTGATCATGTTCTGTTATATACTGAGATTAAACCGTGTCAAGATTACATTCTCTCCATCAAGAAGGAAAAAATATTCTTGATAGTATCCGGTGCATATGCAGAACAAATTCTTGAAAAAATTCACCCCTTGGAACAAGTCGATTTGATCTTTGTCTTTTGTCTTCACCAAGAAAATTATCAACATCTCATCGATAAATATCGAAAAATCGTCCATATATTTACTGATCAGGAAAAGCTGATTCAGAGCATCCAAACAAACATAGACATGGTTCTTAAACAACGGGAAACGTTCAATTTATTCAACGAACAAAAATCAATTAGAGATTTGACCAAGGAATCAGTGTCATTCTTATGGTTTCAGCTATTTAAAGATGTCCTGTTACAAATGCCAGATACGGAAGAATCAAAAATGGAAATGATTGATAAATGTCGATATTACTTTAGAGGAAACATTGAAGAATTGAATGTGATAGAAGAATTCAGATTGACCTATAACAAGGAAGAAACAATTGAATGGTATACGAGACAATGTTTTATATACAGATTAGTGAATAAAGCCCTTCGAACAGAAGATATTGAACTATTATATACATTTCGATTCTACATAAAAGATTTATGTGAGAGACTTGCTCGTGAACATGAAATATTACGACAAATTCAACGGCATGAGCAAGTAATAACTCTCTACCGTGGTTTAAAACTAACCCGTGATGAATTAGAAAAATTTCAAACCAATATTGGTAAATTGATATCGACAAATGGATATTTATCAACAAGTCGTAATCGTAACATGGCGCTTCAGTTTGCGTCAAAAATTTCTAAACGTTCAAACGGCATTCAACCCGTTTTATTTGAAATTTCTGCCGATACAAGATTGAACGATTGTATTTTTGCTGATGTTACAGCTTACAGTATTTTTAGTGAAGAAGAAGAAGTTTTGTTTGATTTGGGTTCGACATTTAAGATTTTGAGCGTGCAATATGATAATGGCACACAAATATGGAATATCAAAATGGCATTGACGAATGAAGCAAAGCATATCGTTCAAAAATACATTGATATTAATCGTCGAGAAATGGAAAAAGGCAATGTCGTTTTATTGTTTGGTATGCTTTTTGCAGAGATGGGAGAATACAAAAAATCCCAGATGTATTTTGAAAATCTACTGAATGCCAACGTTGTTGACGATAAAGCATCGATTTATACGAATTTAGGTCGTGCTAAATATCACCAAGGTCAATTAGATGAAGCTTTAAAAGACTTTAAAAAAGCGTACAACGTATTAAAACAAGATTCAAAGCCTAATCAACTTGATTTGGCACGTACAATGAATAATCTTGGATTGATTTATCAAGACAAGCATCAATATGATCTGGCACTAGACTATCATTTTGACGTTCTAAAAATATACAAACAAAATTCGGAGACAAATCAGTTATTTATTGCACACGCGTACGATTGTATCGGGTTAATCTATGTCAACAAAGACTGTAACTACGAGTTGGCATTAAAGTATTTTTTACAAGCGTCACAATTATACAAAACATGTTTACCAACAACCGATCATTTAAATCTCGCCACTAATTTCAATAATATTGGCCTGTGTTACTTTAACATGGGCCATTATGATCTTGCTGCTGACTATTACATGGAAGGTCTACGTATACGAGAAAAATTATTACCTGCAAACCACTTAGATTTGGCTAGTAGTTTGAATAACGTTGGGCTCATTTATCACAAGAAAAGTCAGTTGGAAAAATCATTATCATCATTCGAAAAAGCTCAGCGTATCTACGAACAAAAAACGAATCAACAGTCAAATATAGCTATGTGTGAAAATAATATAGGAGCAGTATACAACCAACAGAATAAGAGCGAAGAAGCTCTGAACCATCATTTAAAGGCGTTGAACATACTACAAAGTTTGTCGAATCAGAGCGCCGATATTGCCATGACATTGAGTTATATCGGAAACGTTTATACTTCTCAGAGTAAATATCGTCGAGCATTACACTATTATCGTAGATCGTTAAAAATTCAAGAGAAAGTGCTACCATATCAGCATATTGATATAGCAACAACATTGAACAGCATTGGTATTATCTATCAGAAAATGGACGATCTCAATCTAGCCTTCGAGTGTCATATGGATGCTTTGAAACGAAGTGAAAAATATGCGCCAGAAATTAAAGCACAGATATTAAGTAATATCGGTATTATTTATCATAAACAAGGTGAACTAGGATTGGCGCTCGATATTTACAAAAAGGTCTTATTAATAAGAAAGAAATCAACGTGTGAAAATGATAATTCCGAAACAGCATGGATCTTAAATAATATTGGAGCTGTATACGATGATCTCGGTGATTTTAGACATGCTCTAAGATACCATGATCGAGCATTAAAGATACGACGAAAGATTTTGCCTGAAGACAGCCCAGACATAGCCACAAGTTTGAATAATATTGGCATAATTTATCAGAAGAATGGTGAAAATAAAAAAGCATTGGACTGCTATAAATCAGCACTCGATATAAGAACTCGTACATTAGCTCACGATCATTTAGACATAGCAATCAGTTGTTATAATATCGCTCTAATACATTACTATGACCAAAACTTTTCAGAGGCTCAAAAATATCTAAAGAAAGTGACTCTTATACAGCAAAAGAGACTATCACCAACTCATCCCGATCTACAAAAAACATATGAGCTGATGGATACAGTAAATATGTCTGTTGAGAGTAGTTCGTATTCTTGAAACATTGCTTCATAGGAAATACGGCTACGGGCGGCACTTGTGATAGATTTTCAGATAACAATAGTGCTTTTGGCATTTCTACTATGTATCACTGACACTATGTGAATAAATTTGTACCACATATGACGTCGATGGTTTATACACAAAATGCGAGAAAATTATTGCATTAACAAAAAAATATGTATTATTATGATGTTTAATGTGTTTATATTTAATATGAAATTAAACTTGTCTAAGCTTCAAGTTTTTATGTCGATAGACATCATGCATTTGTTCAGGGATTTTTATTTTTTATGTCGACAGACATTATGTGTTTTTGCAGGGTTTTTGTTCTTCTTTTTTTTGTTTAGTCACTTTTTTTTGCAAAATATGAGCAACAGTAAATCACTGTTCCTGGTAGTAGTGTCTTAAACGACGTCTATCCTTTTGCGATGGAATAACGCACTCATGTGACCCCTTTGCCATTAAATGGTTAATTAAGTATTTTATCACGAAAATTTTGTCCATTCAAAACCAAACGTGGCAGGTACATGTAATTCGATCCTCTCTACAAAGTGACTAAATTACTTTCTCTAAAAGTATGAAACCCCTGGATCCTGGGCTTTCCAAAAGATGTCTAGAAAACTTTTGGTGAAAACTTCAGTAAAATCTGCTCCCTTTCTGGTGAAGTTTTAATAAATTCGGCTTTTGCGCCAGACAACACGTTCAAAGCTAAAACTACTAGATACAAAACGAAATATGACATTTTGAAGCATTAGAACGTACATTTCGATCACATTTTGTTGCATGGGACCGCGTTCAAAATAATTATTTTTCGTTCTGCTTTTGGCTACAAACTTGCTGAAATGGAAGCTCTGTACATATTACCAGAACAAAAACATAAAGTTGGTTTTGAGTTGCTGAGAAGCGCTTTTTCGTATTCAGCACATTCGATAACCCAGAAGATTATCTATTTTTGGCGAGGGGTACTTCCAAAAGGTTACGAAAAATTTTGAACAAAATAGTGCAAAACATTTCCATGAGAGAACAATTTGAACAAGTTTGAAATTTTTTCCTAAACTTTTGAAAGTACCTACCGTTCGCCAAAAATAGAAAATCTTCGGGATTATCGAGTGTGCTGAATACGAAAAAGCACTTTTCAGTAACTCAAAAATTTATTTTTTTTCCGGTGATATGGTATTTCATCTATATCATTTTATTTTTACGATATATAGAAAAATGTTCGATATGATTCCTGTACTCTCTAAAAATAAAGGTATTTTAAAATACGGAAAATGGTATAACCATTTGAACCATATCATAACTGTTTAAACGTTTTTTACTTTTATCAGAAAACCCTTTAGGTATTTTTAGAATTCGAAAAAGCCGTGATTTAAAAAACCCTGAATTTATTTGGTATTTTAAAATACCTGAAAGGGTTTTTTGTGACATGAAGAAACCTCAATCGTTTTTCAGAACATAATTTAGCCGTATTTTAGAATTAGAAAATTAGTTTTTTGATAAGAATAAGAAACTTTTAAACAATTATGATACGGTTCAAATGGTTATACCCTTTAAACGTTTTTTACGGGTCCCTAATCGAGACTCCCGGCAGAAGTCCCGCGGGAGTCTCGATGGAGTTCCACGGGACTCCCGTGGGAGTCTTTTTTCTCAAAAAATCCATAGAGAGTCCTGCAGGACTCCACAAAAAGTCCCGTGGGAGTCCCAAACACAAAAAATTGTATTTTTTGAAAAAATCAGTATGAATAAAGAGGCAGGTAGTCAATTCAGAAGATGTACACGGCAAATTCAGCTCTCTGTTCCCTTATCTAAATAAGACTCATTTTCGCTAGTCACAAAGTTACAGTATCGGATTTTTGGACAAGTTTTGTTTCGAGACACATCTCTTTCACAGATTAACTAACCCTTTGAGTCCCGGCGGTACCTATAGTTACCAGGGGCTTTTTCTTCGAAACTAAATAATATCTAAAGGAACGACGTATGTCAATTTAAAATTTCTATATTTTTCCAAACTTTTCCAAAATTAAACTTTGTACCTTCAGTATCCATATATATCAACTTTTTTTACATTTCTTATAATTTTTGAACATGAATGAACAAAATTATGTACAATTCAAAAGAATAAAAAATCGGGACTCAAAGGGCTAAGCACAAAAAAGAATGAAAAGCAACAACTTTTGATATAAAAGCGTCTCTTCAAAGGAATGTTTCTTAAGATAGCTGAGACGCTGATTTCATCATGTTTTAGACAAAGAGAGGGCGTGTTAATAAAACTGCTGTGTACAAGTTTTGATCTCAACTTCAAAATGAGTCTGAGGTGAATGATTGACCCTGATTGCATTATGTTCCCGAAGAGAAAACCGGGTAAAACATGATGAAATCAGCGTCTCAGCTATCTTAAGAA